CCATCGTTCGACGAAGGCGCAGGCCACTGTTTCAGTAGTGATGTCCCTGAAAGGTACTGGTTCAGGCCATCGAGTGAAAGGGTCTACGCAGGTTAAGAGATAAGAGTATCCATTTGAATCTGGTAAAGGTCCTACCCAAACCAGATGAACAATGTCGAAACGAACGTCCGGAGTTTTTAAAGAGCCTAAGGGGCAATTGTTTTGTCTGATAATCTTAGATTTTTGACAGCTTACACGGGAGCGTGCCCTCACGTCTTTATTCATGCCAGGCCAGCAAAACCGTTCTGCTATAAGCTTGATGGTTGCATGAACACCTGGATGAGAAAGTTTGTGCAACGTCTTAAAGACAAAATGTTTCCCAACTTATTAAGTTTATAAATGTTATAAAGTGAAATCGTAGAGCGCTTGCTGTAAACTATGACCTTGAGAGGACGCGTACATCAAGTTTGTTCCAAACGTCAGAAGTTTCATAGCCGTGCTCTCAGAGCAAGATTCTGAAGAAAAAAGAGAAACAGAAGAGCAGCAAGGCACTTGGATATGAACGCAAAACGTTGCTTAACATAGTGTAGTAGAACGTACAAAGGTATAATAAATTAGAATAAATTCATATTATGTCTTGTTAGTGAAATGAAGTCAGAGGCTCCATATTATAGAATGTACTAATAAAGAACAACGAGTTGTGATGTTTAACAAGTTGGAGTAAGCTCACATGAAGGAAAGGAAGTCAAGGCTGTTACTAGGAAAGCGGTTTATAAGAAGGGTGTGTATATAGAGGGTGAAGTGTTAAGAATATTAACGACTACATCTTTTATTGTCTAACTTTTTTTCTTTTTTGTCTTTCCGATGCCAGCCACACAATCCTAGTGTAAAAATCCGAGTTAGCATGTTATGGGTTGTCCTAGTAGAATAGCTAATCCAGCATAATATTGGAAACATGAGTTTGAATGGTGAGCGTAGGAAAACAATCTATATCACAGATTGATTGAATTATTCTCAGTCATGAGGAGCCTGATACATACAAAATGTTCTGTCCCCACAAACATGGGTGGATTGAAGTTATCGCCCTCACCATCAATGCTTGCTGGTCAGTAACTCCACCCTCCCTCCTTTTGTGATGTTAGGCTCATTTAGCATGTCATACCTCGCACAATCCTCTGTTTCACAAACTGTTGGAAAGCACTATTTCTATAAGTACCATTTTACAAGCTTATCAGACAGTTACAAGTTATGGACTGTGGGTAAAGCATCGATGCAGTGCCTCTGTTGACTATAGTATAAAGTATAGTTTGCCAATCAGAGTATAAGCGTTAAGAAGGGTATATTGTAGGATAGTTGTTTATTTAAGCAGGCGGAAAAAGTATAGAAGTATATGAGTTGTGGATATGGGAACGAGTGGAGAAATAATAATAATTGCTAGCCAACATAGTGTACTGAAGAGTAAAAAGTTAATACAGGATAAACAGGAAGGGACTCACAGTAACTTGGTGCTGATGTTATTTTCTGTTGTCCTAACCAGTTGATTGGTAACAGGCTCCATAGATGCAAGACCACTGGAAGTAGGCAGCCGATTGTGCGGTCCTCTTGACGTTTTAGGGTGGTAGTGAGTGTCCCTTATCGACCGACTTTATTTTAACAGTAATGATAGGTCCATTAAGTTGCCTGTCTACTTCAGGTGAAGAAATGGGGTGGAAAAGGTAATTAATACAACTGCAAAGTATGAAAAATAAGGTAAACTGAACTTGAAGTCCATTTTGGTCTAGACATGGAGAGAGCCTATGATGTCTGAGTGGGGCGCAGATGTGTTCGTACGTGCAAGATCAGTGCAAGTGAGGGCTTGATCAAGCAGTTTCACAAACGTATGTAATTCATCTGCCATGCGAGTTTCGGAGGGAAGACTGTTCCATATTATTGCATACTTGGTGAGGAAGAAGTTTTCCCGAGTTTTTGATCTGTATTTCTCAACTTTGACCGTAGATACTTTGTTTCGAAGTCCGTATTCATGTGAATCTCGGGCAAGAATTATCTTACACGTTGAATAAGTAAGGTTTTTGAGTAGTTTGAAGTAGAGAATCAAATTAGACCTAAGCCTTCTCTTCCAAAGGGGTGCTATTCCTAAGATTTGGCATCGGGAACTATAGTCAATGACCAAGTCAGTCTTAAGTACCTTGCGAGTGAAGTCTCGTTGTATTCCTTCCACCTTTAGTATATCAGATACGCGTAGGTTGGAAAATAAGAACGAGCAGTATTCAGCGATAGGTCTTACACAAACTTTGTAAAGAAGGATTTTAGATTCATTTTGATAGAAATTACGGAGAATGAAGCCAAGCAATTTCCGCATTTTGGATGCTTTGGCTGAGATGTGTTCAGAGAAATTAAGACTGTGTGAGTTGTGTACCCCTAGGTCAGTTACTGATGCCAGTCTGGGCAATGTGTGATTGCTAAGTGTTAGTTTCGTTTTGAGAGATGTGTCTCCTATACATAACCAGCCGCATTTCTCTGTGTTGAGCTCTAACCTCCAGCGTTTGCACCAGTCGTTTACCATGTAGCGATAGGCTTTTGATTTGCCGCCTGCAAGATTAAAACTGATTCGTGAAGCCTGTCGTTAGAATTTGCAGGAAGAACGCTAACTTCTGTTCCAGTATCGACGAGGTAACGAACTCTCGTTATCATATCAGTGACGTATAACAGACTGCTATGATCGCCGGCTATGGTTGCCGTTAACGCGTGCCGGCTCAGAAGTTTCCCGAATCGTCTTTCGCGTCGTTCGATTTTGAGTTTGTAAAATTGCAGAGTTTTCTACAAATTCTGGAGGACTTTCCATACTGGTTATAATACCAGCACTAGTCTGGATTATCAGTCTCTCGTAGACTAGAGGCGGATCACTTACGTGAAATGCTTTTTCTTAAGGGGTGTGACAGTTTACGGTCTTAACAAAACTTAAGATAACGTGTAAGTGTATGACATAAATCTGATATGTCATTCCGGGTCGTTTTAGGCTTTTCGTTGGCTGAAAGAACCTTGGCAATAGAAGATTCCGTGATTTCTAAGATGCGATCGGCAGATGCATCTAACTCGTCTACGGCGTTGTTTTGAAATGAGAGCAGCACAGCTTGCATCTTTTGAGAAAGTTTAGATAAGAAAAGTTGCTTAATTGAAGGTTTTTTGGCCTATGACCTCTCTCATGCTTTGCAACATCTCTGTCGCAGAACCGTGTTGCAGATCGATAATATTTAGTATTTGGTCTAACCTTTGTTGATCGGTTAGGTCTCCGCGTTTAAGGATAGATCGTTAGTTGTTTCGTAGGGTTCAGAAACATCACTGGTAGACATACTAGGTGTTAAGTACTTGTTGAATTCGCGCGGTAGTGCCCTAGTACCCGTAAGACATCAGTATTTATCCTTAAAACTGATATACTGTGTAAACATACCCAGGCGGTTGTTCGGATGACTGAAGCTTTCTTCCTAAAATAACTTCGAACTTATAACTAAGCTACTATTTAAACTAATGAAGAGATAATTTTCAATTGAATCAAAAATTCTCTTTTATTTCGGAGAAAATTCTAATTAATATGTTGTTCGATAACTTTATATGAACTAGTGTTTACATTTATCATCTGCTCTGCAATGAGTAATATCATTGAACAATGACTAATATATTCCGCTCTATTTGATTACTGACCTTATGTTTGGTTTACACAAGTTACAAAGACAAGTCGGCAAGTTCTTGAGCGATGTTAGCTTTTTAATGTGTAAATCTTGGTAAAAATGAGTATTTCAGCTACGTCTGAGCCTTCCACCACTGACGTCGATAGAGGAGATTTTCTTACTTATTATAGAGATAACACTTCATAGTTTTTTGTCCATCACATATGAAACACTTTGAAATCTGTGGGTCACCATACAACTTTCGTGATACGCTGTCAATATACTAGGTTCAATATACCCATGATAGTTTAATTTAGATGTAGCATTATCGACACATTGTATACAGGGTGTTATAACCCGAGCTCCCAACTTTGGGAAAAATTTGGGGAAACTCCGAAAGTCAAGTGACCTTGACCAAGGTTAAAGGGGAATTTTAGGGGTTTTGTGTCATTTCCCCAAAATGTGCCAATTTTTCTCCGAAATTGAGAGCTCGGGAACTTGTTGTACAAGTGGGATGTCCGTTTACCAACCAAGTTACGTTTTCGCAGCTGAGTAGCCCGCTCTGTATTAATATGTCGCCGTGAAACAGGGTCTTCTGAGGCATCAGATATGCATAGGCTACGGGATTTTAATCGCAGATGTCTTCGGAGCATTGATCACTTATCATAGAACAGCAGAGTAAGGGGTCTTGGTGCTAAATACGGTGAACTAAGCAGACAAGGCAAGCCAGTTGATAAGGCTGTGAGTTTTTGCAAACAGGTAACTGGGAGATATCATTCATGACCAACCACTACGGAACTCGACGGTCAATGTCGGTTGGAGTAGGAGTAAGTTGGAATAAAGCCAAGAGCTGTCGATTCAACTGTGGCACCTTTCCATAAAGTCATCAACTGTTGGTTGACTCATATCGACAAGTGAAGACTAACTGGTTGGCAACCGTGCGATAACTGTAACGTGTAATTGGAGACGGGTCAAGGCTCGTAATCAGTTGCAGTGCCTCCAGATGTATTCACTCCTTGTCTTACTCGAGATATTCAATATTTTTTAAAACACACCTTCTGTAATCTCGAGCCTTACCAGAGGGATTATCAGCCTAGTCCATAATATATTATTCTCCAGTAAAGAAGAACTGGTTTCGTCATTTTATTATGTTAACCTGCCATCATATGAGTGCCAATCATATTAACTACTTAGAAGGTAATATACCAAATATCAAATGAATTGCAAAGGTTACACTTCAGTAAAAACATAAGATTTTATACATACAAACATACTTTCTGTTCAGATACACTCTGTATCATTCAAAAGGACTATAGATTGCGCGTAATTTTTTTTAGGATTTTACTCTCTTACTCCATGAAACGGGCAAAACAAGAAAGAGAACTGACAGATGAAGAGCGTAATATCGTGATATCAGTGCGCCATTGTGCGCGAGAATTGGACGATGTCTTACAGGGTGCACGTAGAAAAGCCCAGTCGAATCCCAAAGTATTTGCGGAGACAGGAATTAGTGTCATGTTTAGAGGTGTTGACTCTTATGCGGATATGTATGAAAAATTGGGTGTGAAGTCAAGAGATGGATTAGAAAGATTATTTTCTAAATTTTCCGACTGCGAAGAAATTCAGGATACTCAAGATGCAATCGAAGAAACTGAAGGAAACTGGAGAAATTTTCTAGTTAATCTTGATAAGGAGGTTGCACATGATGAACATGAAAATAGTAGAGTTAATTCAGTATCTAAACCCGAGAACCTTTCTAATGTGGAATGTGATTACTTATTCTTACCATCACTACCACTTATTGACTGGCAAACCAGCCGTGAGGTTAACTTGCAAGATTATGTCCAAAAATACATGTGCCTTGTAGTCATCTGTCAGCCTGCATACTGGCCAGATACTGCTGTTCGTTGGCGTTATTCAGAGGTATCAAAAGCCCAGGTAAATTTCCCACTCTAAAATTAATGATTTTACGAATAACAATATTTTTAGAGTAACGCTACAGAAAACGTTTCGTTATCAAATTTACCATTAGTGCATTTCAGTAACCACATATACTTACTACTATCTATGTGCACATGTGCCAGGTCCTACATTTCATATCACTAACTGACTAGGAACTTCATATTCCTTGATATATTTGTATCCATGGTGATCTGGATCACACTGTCGATTTAATAGTACGTTAGTGAAACTGACGTCAATTTAGGCTATTGCTATTTTATTATGTAGAGGCTACATGTTTTTGCCATTACCTGATCTTACGATCGGCGGCTTCCCATATATCACGTATTACCTTGTTTTGCTACACATTTCTTGTTCCTGAACTTTCGAAGGATTTCTGTGTTTCATAGATCACCAAAAACAACTAGTGAGTAGTATATCTTTCAACTTCATTATGAGCATAGTTGTTGATCGAAATTCAGAATTCTGTCATATATAAACCATCCACTCCGTTCACGTGGTTCCCGTTGTATATTCACTAGCATAACGAGATGTAGTACACTAAGATTCATCCACGTGAAATATCATGCCATGCAACACTACACCTAGTATTTATATTGTGCGACTTGTAGGAGCTGACCTAACCAAAAACCAATGCTCTTGAACACTGTAAGGATTCTTACCTTCTAAAGAGTTTATTTAGTTTTATTTCTCCTGTAGATGTGTCTAAATAGTACAAAATGATTTTTTTTGAACATGTTGAGAATCGTACTAAAAATACGACAGAGCGATGCGATTATTATTATCGTTAATACGATGCGTTGAGCTACTGTTTATAGTCATGAAAATTTGTTATAGTAAACTGACTTCCTTTTCAGTATTAATATTAACTTTAGTTTGACCATTATCTTCATTTCTTACCGATATCAGACTGAAAATGAGGCAGACAATCGATTTGAGACGTGGCATCAACAGACATAGGCCCAAATTAAGACAATTCACATCAGTAACCGATTTCCGCCTGTCACCTGGAATCTCTTAACATTGGTTACGGTCATCACCCTGAATCCAGACAAGAAATATGAACGACAGTTTTGCTTTCAGTAGTGTTTATCCTCTACCATTGATTTTAGTACTTCAAGGAATGTGATTTCGCAAAGTAGAATTCTTACTACGTAATTCTCAAGAAGCTATCTGTCAGGCAGATATTTTACTGTTCATTGCGTTTTCACTGGAATTCGAAACGTTCTAATTAGAAATCCCGCTAACTGATACCAACGAATTAAGACACATATTTCTCACTAGTCTTCAATATTTGTATTCAATGCGAAGGGATATTGATAGTACTGACTCAAAAATTTCAACGTATGATAAAATTGTATGTGGTAAACCTTATTCTCACTTGATCTTCAAATGGTACCTTTTTCATTTGTTTGAGTGGTTTGTGGAAATTAGTTGAATTCGGTGATATTTCAGATTAATAAACTAATATATTTCTCCGTTAATTCGTTCCAAGAAGTTATGATCTAGTAGTATACTAACATTGACGTCGAAATGGAGGCATTTATGCCTCAACCATATCAGTTTAGACGTCACGGTGAGTCATAAATTCATAGTTCTTAGATGTAGCATACTACTTTTTCTATTTATTTTAGATAGTTTATTTAAACTAATTATATTCTGTACAATTTTTTCCTCTTTGTGTTATGAAATTGATTTTACGTTTATGTAAGTAATTTCAAACTTCTTTTTTAAAGTGTGATCTATCCCAGTTCAACGTTGGATACGCAGTTGTTACATGGGGCCCAGCAGATGAAGTGCGGAGTTGGTGCAAACAAGTTAATCGAATTACAAAGTGGCCAGTTTTGTGGGATAAATCAGGCGATTTTCGAGCTAAAATTGGATTTAAGTCAGGTTTACAACGTGTTAGTTTACAAAATTCCTTTTTTAGTCCGTACTTTTCATAAAATCAGTTTTCATTATTGCATTTCAATATCATGCAATATGAAGTGCATTAACTGGTTAGTACCGTGGTCATGTCCATGTATTTTTCAAAAACAATAGTTTCACACTCTCGGAAGATATTATTGTCTATGCAAGTCAAGTTTACGTATTAGCGTGAGCAATCCTACCACATACTTGTAGAACTTGACGTTTTGAGCTGAGGATGTTTACTGTCTCAATCTGATCATCGTCGTCTCCCGACAATCGCTCACATCCTATGATGGACCCATTTATGTAATGCTGATATCCAATATTATGTGCTTTGGAAAAACCCAACCATGACTGTCACCTTGACGTGGTGCTTGAACTTGAATATTGTGATGACCCGATCAGACTGTTTTGGTTGGAATACTCGTTCCCTTAGGTGCTACCATGCCTGGCAGTAAGACTAAAAGTAGCAAACTCATGATCTGAAGTTGTACTGCTGACTGTATAGGAGTATGATGGCATTAAGAGTTTTTTCTTCAGACACTTAACATCTACAGCGGTACTGTCTCCCCACAACGAAAGGAGGAAGTTAGATACGGTCGACCTTGAAAACTGTATACCTCACCTTGCTACATGGATTTCTGCCTTTAGCGACAAGGTCTCCAAAGTAAGTAGCTAGTTTTCCTAAAACTATTCACAAAAAGGTAATGTGTAACCAGCCTTATGCAGTTGTCCGTTTGGTAGTGAACTTTACGCTTTCGGGTTAGCAAAAACTGCCTTTAACCCAGTCTCACTTTTAGGTACCCGATAAAGTTTTCTTTCAGTGTAAGCAAAAGAGAAGTTGTAGCCGACTGATATTTTTCGCGTACACTTTACTGTTTTGATGCGACCAAAATAAATGCTACCCAATAATTTCACCTTATTACGTTGTGTAAATTTACCAAGGTCTTAATAAGTTTTTATCATATATTAAAAATCATTAATTAAATCTTATTGTTCTGTTACTTAATGGGTATAGGTATGGGCCGCTGAAAATCTGGATTTCCTTGGTTGTCAACGTTCAATGCATCATCGTCCGATAAATTCACCGCCAACTAATCTCAATTGGTCAGAATGGAAACAAATCGGTGGCGAATTAGTTCTATCTCAGCCTGTCTTATGGAACCCACAAAAGACAATGAAATCTAACATTTATGTAGCAACGCAAACAGGCGTAAAACATAAACGCAATACTCATGAAAGTGATGAAGATAGATCCAATGAAGATTTGCACTCAGAATCACTTGAAGTATCAATTAGAGAGGCCCTTCGTGATAAAGAAGCGATGTGTTCAAAACAGGTCAAGGTTTGTGCATTGTACCTAAGTACTCGTATTTCGGATCTCATGCCTTCAGGTTCGATATATCAAGCTGCTTTAACATGTTATGCTCGTACACACAATACTACAGAAAGCGATGTCATGGATAAAATTAGGAGAGATCGCAGATTTTCTACACCACCTGAATCAGCTCGATTACAGTACGAAGCAACTACCGGTTTATATTATGACCCAGAAACTGCTTTGTATTATGACCCACTAAGAGGTTATTTCTATGATTCAACGAATCAAATGTACTACTATTGGTCTCAATCTGAAGGACGATATATCTTAGCCAACACATTGATTCAAGCTGAACTTGCTGCTGCGCATGTAGCTCAAGCAGTAGCAGCCCAAGCTGCCGCAGACAAAGCTATGGCTGAGCGAGAAGCTGCTAAAAAGGCGGCCATGTGTGTAGCCGCGCAATTAGCGGAGATACGTGCGGGTAAAGACGATTATGCTGCTTATGCGTATGCAACATGTGTATTACCTCAACAAGAACCAAGCGACCCAGATTACAAAGAAATTTCTACAGACAGTGGTAGATTTTGTATCGCTTATCAAAATACAACAGCCGCTGCAAATAATATAGAAGCATCACTAAAAGCATGGAACACAGGTAATACTAACAGTGGTACTGAGATTTTGTCGTCTAAACCTCTTGTTCCTTACACAGATGACAATACAGGAACTGATCATTGTAGTTCAACACCGCCGCCCCCAGGGTTGTAAATAATGAAACTGTAAAAAACAACAAACACCCATTTCATTACTTTAGTTACATTGCTCCACTCACTATGTATTTGGCACTTCTGCGTATTTAATTTGGTGTTTGTACAGCGATTTTCTGGGTTTAAATAACTTGTAACATTTTACTATTTCTGTAAAGCATAAACTATTCTAGTACAAAAAAGAATGAAGTTGATGAAACAACATTTGCATGTCATGGTAACTAAAGTGTTCTATGAATAAGGGTAGGCGATGCTGAATGATTTAATGCCGCCAACGTAGTTATTGACCACGTATTTTTCGTAAACATTACTGACATGCTATGAAGATACCGCGCCACCTTTTTTATCAACTGAGCTTTGTTCTTTCTTCGGACAGAACCAACTTTAAGCGACGAATCGCCTAGCTTTTAGGGATTTTCAAACCAGTAAAACAACTTCATTTGTAATCTAATAACGAGGAGAATGTGCACACTATGAGGCATAGATACCCCATATCACATGAGATAGAAATAAATAATAACCTATTGGTTTGTATTTTTGTTTGTCAAGTCTCTCTTTGAGACATAAATTGTTGGCATTTCATGGATGATAAAGCCAGGGATTGTCAATATATCAATCAATCTTCTCGTTGAGAATACTTCCACATAATTATTCTGAAGAGTTGTTGTTTTGATATCTTTGCTTACTTGTTCAACACCATTTTCTTGGACATTTACATAGAAATAAAACTTGGCAGTGGAATCACAAAATCGACTTGTTTTGGAATGTAACCATGATGAGATTTTTCCAAAAGGAGGTGAACCAGGGGGATAATACGTAATCAGCTCATCTTGCCGTTCAGATGATACATTAAGTATGTGATTGCTCCATATAGTACATAAACGTGTCAGTTGCTCTTGATCATGTACGACCAGGCGTATTGATTTCGAATGGCTGGTAATACAAGTTACATCTGAAGCTTCTTCTGAAGACATAAGACTAAATTCTATGCTCCATAAAATACTTTTAGGTTCGTCTTTTTGTATATGGACACGGGTTTTGTTGACTTTTGTACGTGACAACATAAGTGTTGGTGCGAGTCGAAGTGTTACACCATATTCATTAGCCAACTTTACTAGTTGATTCCTTCTACGTATCCTCCCAGTATTTCGATGAGATAGCTAGGGAAAAAATAGCTGGAAATGATAAAACTTGTAGCACTGTGTCTACTACTTATAAAAAAAAACAGTACAGTAAAGAATCTCCCAAATACACCGTAACCACTGGAAAGGTTGGAAGTTTGTGATAAGAAAGGTGAAGAGACCATCTTTTTGTTTGAGCGATAGGTTAGCATGGCGACATTAGTACTAATATAAAGGTTGGCAGTACTTGACGAAATTAACATTTAATTTGTCCTGCTAAGATCATGAATAATATGTCAGTGATATATTTCGTAGTATGAGCTTTCGACCTTAACCTACTAACTTTGGCACACAACCCTGCTCAAAAGATAGACTACACGTAATTTTGTGACGAACATTGTTCGTGAAGAATCTATGATACTGATAACGCTTGTAAGTGACTACGTGAGAGTAGGGATGAAAGTCGAAAAATGTAAGAGTGTGTTAGGAATTAAATATCTGCATATATGTTGAGTGTCACCGACCAAACTAATAGCGAGTAACTAAATCAGATGCGAAAAACATTAGAAAGTTACGTAGTTAAAAATGAATATGTAATTATAAGAATGAAACTAACGGGCAGAACGTTCGTTAGGAATATAAAATCTAAGGAAACTTCGATGTAACTTTAGGGTTTAGAAAACCAGGAGTGAAGTATTAGGCTCCATGGACTTATTTATACACAGTGTGGGTTCATTTATGAGTCTTCTTATGGTTACCGCAGTTCTGCAGCACAGAACAAGTCTAACGATTTTTCATTGATACGACTATAGCTGCTACTTTGATATGGCGGTCGGGCATGGCTGGAACACATGTTCCTTTATGTCCTCCTATTCCAGACAGGTCAGTTGGAGAACAGTACGACTGAAAGCAGCAAGGTCCGAGGTCGTACTGTTGACTGTGGAAGGGTGCGACGACGCCAAGGTGTTCAGCTCGGAAACCAGCATATGCAATGATATTGTCTTCTCACAACTGAAGGGATTTAAAAAGATCGAGAGTAGAAATATCAAAACTCACATTACCCCACAGATTTCTGTGTCCGGCGGTTAGGCCTTTTGAAGTGCGGAGCTAACAAGTCAGGACCTCATAAAACGGGCGTGCGTGTTCGGCCTCAAGCACTTGTCTCTTGGTTTTTTGCGGATACGCCCCTAGGTCGCTAAGACCAACGTTAATCAAGCTTTTTTTAATAGAGTTTTGTTCTCTGAGCTGGATGGTTTAAACGTGGAGCTCTCGTCGTTCTTCTGAACGACATCGTTCCAAGGTTTGGGCAGCAGAAACGTAAAAACCGCCCTTATACCTCTAATAACAGCAACCGAGGTCATCTTGTTTACGATCGAATTCCTCCCTCACTTTTTAATAATTCTCATGCCCCCGTAACTAACCTTTCTGGCATATCTTTATCAACACACATGCTAATGATTTGAGTTCACGAAATGTTATTGTTGGTCTCCCCAAACGACATTCTAAACTTTTAATGTCTAAACTTTGCGTCAGATAAGAGGACAGTTTTCTTTAGCTGGGACTTTAGGAATTGTGGCGGGTGATTTTATGCCCAAGTAGGTAAACTAAATCAAACCTAAAGGGACTTGGATTGGGTCTTACGGTGCCGTGTTAGGGTTAGATTTTCTGCCGGGGGATTTACTCGCTGATGTAGAATACGAAGATGATATAGTTCTTTTAAGTGAAAACGTTGACAAAGTAGTGTTTTAATTGCCCTAAGCAACAATGAAAGCACGTTTGAGAGACGGTTATCTCCCTTCAAATATAAAATGATCATTCAGGACTGGCTTACATCAGAGCCTGAGTTAGTTATAGGGCGTGGATTAGTTGAACGCATCAACCGCTCCATCTACATTGGGAGACTCATTAATCCTGATATTCTGGTATCTATGCCCTTGTATTTTAGGACTACCGAGTAAGTAATGCCCGAGTTAGGAATAGGTAACGATGACAAATTGATTGAAGTAGCGTATTTTCATCAACTGAGACAGTTGGGATGTGTTACGTATGCCCAACAGCTGTCTACCTCAACGGGTATGTTACATGTAGTAGGAGTGGGTTAGAAGAAAGACAAAGTGGCTTAAACAAGACATAGCATCAGTCCGATAAGTCAGTGAAATTGGACTGAGTTATGCTAATAGATGTTGACTAACTGGTTTCAGTCCATATGATTATAGTAATCAGTGGTTACATAATTGGAATTATATGGCTCAAAATCGTCTTCAATGACGCAGGTGCGTCCAGTCTTAGTTTCCCCCATATTCTGGGTTTCTGAGTTCTTCGTAACTTGTTTTGTGTTTTTGATTTCACTGCTTTATATTTCCTTGGATCCTATCTGATCCCTAATATCTTCTGTCACCACTCATACTATCACTACCGCTACTATTTGGTGACCTGGGTTGACAATTTCATTTTGCTATGCAAATTAGGTATGGCAACTTGAACTGATGCACATACGTACCATGTTCTGCGTTGCGACTGACTGATTCTACGGATAAATTTGAAAGCTAGCTTTGCAACGACTCGATAACTGGCATAAACTAGCTTCAAGAGGATAGAATGCATCCATGTAAACACAAGATCCAGGCAGCAACAGAACTTTGACACCAATCGGAAAAATATGGGCGTGATATATAAGCATAGATGAAAATATTAACTAGAAAGCGATAAGATATAGCAGTGTTCACTTACCGATAAAAGTTGTTTTTCCCTATAAGCATTTTTTCTGTCTATTTCCTCTAATAATCTATAGTCTTTCTGAAAGAAGAACATTGAATAATTCTCTTTCCGACAATAGGCAATAGTATCACATATGCCCGTACAACCAAACTGTGCTTTATGGTCATTACAGCATGAAAGACTACAAGTTTTTACTTCACACTTCGGACATTTGTACTTAAACTCATTTTCCGAGCACATAGCGCATAACCGATTGTCACTGACTGAAGCACATTTCACAAATTGCGAATTTTCTACATTCATTACTGTATTACTTCAGAACGACGTGGGACCTAGAGAATGGCATGAAGAATAGTAACATTCAGAACTTCGAACAAATCAATGAGAAAAGTGTAACTGAGTCGATAAAGTGTGAATAAAGTCCACTGTTCCAGCAATAATCTAAAAAGCCACTGAGAAACTAGACTGACAACCAGTTAGTCAGTGATTTCGGAAATTAAGGTTGGAGTTTTTATCACGAACCAACATCAGCTATAACGCCGAAATGATATTTAGCCGTATAGATCGTCCTTACATAACATATCGCTTGGCATAGTTTATAAACTATACTATAATATACATATTATTGTACACTCCTCCCGAAAGTACGCCGAACAGATCATGAGCAAGTTTTAGAAGAATCTGTGCGTCTTTAAAAATATGTCATAAACAGTAACTCATTTCAGTACCTTAATGTACAATATACTGAAGCCAAAATACACGTGAAATTACGCTCACTTTCAATAAACGCGGTCCGTAAATACAACATTCATTATCTAGTAACATATTCCCAGTAATCAAAAAAACGTGTCGTGAACCAAAATAAATCGATTGATTACTTTGTAGTGACCTAATTCTATCAAGAGAACGCGATTGGTGTTATGGAAACAATTATTATTTAAGGACAGGTAGGTTACCTGTTCATTCACGTAAGTTTCAGTTTCAGTTTCAGTTTGGGAAGGACAGGAGGCTCGACGGCCTATATTAGTCCTGGCAATGGTGGTCTCTCAGTTGATCCAACTTTCTTTTGAAAGAGTCGACGGATGGAGCCTCAACCACGTGCTGAGGTAGTGAATTCCACTCGTTGATTATTCGATGGGAAAGTCGATAGTCAGCTGACAAGTAATTTGTTTTCGGCTTGTGAACTTTTTTGGAGTGTCCTCGTAAATTCTCTGTTTTGGAAGACAAGAAAAATGAGGGCATGTTAGGTGCAAATTTATCACTAAGCAATTTGTAGACTGTAATCAAGTCACCTCTAGTTCTGCGATAAGATAACGGGAAAAGGTTCAGCTTGGCCAGTGGAGATTCATACGGAAGCTTTGCTATTCCGGGAACCAGCTTAGTCGCCGTTCTCTGAACCTTTTCCAGAAGCTCACTGTCTTTTTTTAAGCAGGGGCTAGCCGCTTGTATGCAGTACTCAAGTTTAGGACGAACGAACACTGTATACAAAGTCAAAAACGTCTTAGCGTCGACATGACTAAAAGCCCTACGTATTGACCATAACGATCTAAAACTTTTGGCGACTATTGCACGGCAGTGTGCAGTAGTCTTTAAGTCTTGACTAACGATAACGCCTAAGTCATTATATGTCTGGACGACAGGTAGCTCAGTGTTATCCATCATGTATGTATTTGTGCCTTGATGACCGATATGCATCACAACACACTTGGAAGTATTTATCGGCAACTGCCATGTTTGAGACCATTCAGATAACTTCTTCAGGTCATTTTGAAGTTCTAAGCTATCACTCTTACATCGTATCGCTTTCCATATCTTGACATCTTCAGCATATAGCAAGACCGATGATGATAGGAGACAAGGAAGGTCATTTACATACAAGAGGAATAGCACTGGCCCCAAAACTGTACCCTGGGGCACTCCACTAAGCACAGTTTCCCAGCTAGATAACTTTGAGTTCACCCGAACTCTTTGTTGACGCCCAACTAAGAAGTCTTTTATCCACATCAATAAATTGCCTCCAATCCCGACTTTTCTTAACTTATATAACAGCCGGTTGTGCGGAACTTTATCAAAAGCTTTACTGAAATCAATGAAGGCGACGTCTACAGGTAGCTTTTGGTCCTTAAGAGCGCACCAGCTTTCACGAGCCACTAATAAGTTAGTGAGACAAGAATAACCTATTCTGAAGCCGTGCTGCTTCTCCGAGAGGATCCGGTTTTTATCGAGATACTTAAACAGCTCTTCCCTAATAATCTTTTCTAATATTTTAACAACCACACTAGTTAGGCTAACGGGGCGGTAGTTTTCAGGTTTGTGTTTCGTACCTGTTTTGAAGACAGGACTTACTATGGCGTTTTTCCAATCTTTCGGTAAGCGACCCTGCGTAACGGATAGGTTAAAGCATGTACTTAAAGGGCTTGCAACGAAGTTAGATAATTCCTTTAATAGCCTAGGATGTAATTCATCGGGCCCCGTGGATTTACCTATATCAAGCTTATTTAGCAGACCAAAGACATCGAGTTCTTTAATGGTCACGCTATCCAGTTTATGTGTGGGGGGATCTGTATACGCTGACGAGAAGGGCGCTTCTATGGTATACACGTTGCTAAAGTAGTTCGAAAACGCTTGAGCCTTACCAAAGTCGTCCTCCACTAATGATGAAGCAGTACTGTCTCCCCATAGAGCAGGAATATTTCCTTTTCTCCTTGTCCTTTGGTTTATATAGGAATACAAGCGTTTAGGACATTCTATGGATTCCTTTACAAGTTTTTCTTCGTACAATTTTCTAGACTTACGGAGGGTCGAGGCACAAGTGTTCCGAGCCTTTCGATACTGAGATTTTGCCTCATCAGTCCCCAGTAACCTAAATCTATCCCACATCTTCCTTTTCTTACGGAGAAGAATACGGACCTCCCTACTGAACCATGGTGGAGAGTTTTTCGGTCCCTTTGGTATAGTCCAAGGGATGTGAGGTGTGGTAACTTTTAAGTATGAATTTCGAAATGCGTCCCAGGCCGTTTCAATGGAGGACTCTGGGTCTATTATCCAATCTATTAACGATGCTGAGTGCATGATGGCTGGTATGTTTGCTTTCAGGACGTTGGGTCTGGACTGGACTGATGCGTCCTCATGACTGACAGTTATATGGAAGTCGAAAGTTAAAACTGCGTGGTCACTTTTACCTAAGGGTGGCATATGTTGGAGGTTCGCAACATCATCCTCATAGTGAGTCAGTATAAGATCTAATAAGGATGATTCAGTGTCCGGATCGTACCTTGTCGCTTCTTTCACATGTTGTACTAGAGCACATGTGATAATCCCATCAACTAGTTCCTGCTCGAAAGAATTCTCCGACGATTTAATTCGCAGATTTTCCCAGTCTACCATAGGTGCGTTAAAGTCCCCTAGGATTAGACATCGACCACTTTGGGACCAAGTATTGAGACTGCTTAACAGGATCTCATTTGCCTCACAGCTTGGACTGCGATAGACCAAACCAATCAGCAGCTCTTGTCCCTTACATTTTAGGCGAAGACTAACTAATTCACACGTCCCACTCTCATGAGATACACTGTCGACAATGGTAAATGGGATAGTATTCCTAATGAATAGAGCTACTCCCCCTCCTTTGCGCTTTTGTGTTCTGTCGGCCCTTACTAACGTAAAGCCCTCGAAATCAAGTTCTATACTATCTATAGCCTGTGTCAGCCAGGTTTCTGTTACTGAGATTATGTCTGGCTTTGTAGAGTCAATCTGTACACCTAGTTCCGAGCGCTTATTAAGTAAGCTTCGTGCATTGGTGTAACAGATCCGAAGCCTGTTTAAGTGCCTTCGTGTTTCACCCAGAGTGGTCTTTTTCGCCAGCGTCTAACCTATGTTGTAGTTCTTTCTCGGCTTCCCGTCTTTTAACACGGTCTGCCAACGGTAGGTCCTTTCGAATAAAGACTCCTGAACCCTTTAATTTGTGCCCATTTTGTAAAATTTGGTCACGTTCGTTCGAAGAGCCGAATACTACTTTAAGCAGTCTGGAATGATTTGGTTTCGAGTCCGTTAGACTCCCTAGTCTGTACACCTTTAGCAAGGTGACCCCGGTCATATTTTGAGGCATGAGTTGATTAAGCAGCTGCCTAATCAGTACAATGTCATGCTCAAAACGAGCTTTAGGTTCAGAGCTATCGCTCTCCTTGATTCTATGAAAAATAGCTGATCTGTCGCTATGATCAGCTTTCGATTTTTCAACCACTTTTACGGGAGCAGGTTTCCCATTTATATCCCTACTTCTCTTCCTCGCAACCTTTACCCATTCCTCAACGGTGCTGGTAGAAGCAATAACAGTTGCGTCAAACTCAGTGTTGGGTTTTGGGGGGTTGCCGACGACCTGATGGGTCGTGTTATGTTTACCGTTTGAAACCGATCGAGCCTTGCGATTGCGGCTTCTAGGTGTTTCCTGTTGGATCCCATCTGGGAGACGGGGAACAGAAGATCCTACTTTTCTTGAGCTTTTGTCTAAGGCAGGCCTCTTTGGAGACTGCTTTTCCTTCTTTGACAGGCTTGAGTCATCTACCACCGGACTAACCTTAGTTTCCTTCACGTTGATTTGCGTGTCGACAGATCAAGTGCTGCTTGACGCGTTCCGACTATGCTTGCTAAAGCACTTCTTTGCAGCATCAACCAGTGAGATTTTCGTGCCTATAGGTAACCCTCGTACTATTGATAGAAGAAACACGAGAAGTTGTGAGTACGTGTTTATTTCGATCTTAGCGCAGTCACAGTGGAGCGTGGGGTTATCTGTTCAGACAAACAAAAGCTTTCAGCATTCAATATAAGATAATAAGGAATATAACGCTTATACAAAATAAGGAAGTGAATGAATACTTGAACAATACTGTTTTGGCATATGCTTGGTTGTTTGGGGTCAACTCTTAACCAACCAACCTATGCTGTTACATTAGCTTCCCCCTAGAATCGACTTCCGTAGGAACGTCGGTTCGATTAATCTATCTATCAAAAACACCTTAGTTTTATTTCTCATTCCAAGGGAAATTTATCAACTCACTCAATGTTTGACTTACAATAAGTGGCAACTAACGCTGTCAACGGTAGTCCATGGATGTCTCTTCATTTACTAGCTTGTCATCTTATTTAGTAGCATGTGATTTCTTCTACAACTATAGCTGACGGTTTACTGAGTGCTTTCATGAGAAAGAGTGTTAAACTGTGGAATAAGAATATCTGAGGAAGTGCCGCGAGCGGGCTACCCAACACCATGTTGGTGAGGTACGATTTTTCCATGCTCAGACCGG